CCCTTCCCAGTGGTCATCCTCTTTACAGACTCGGGCTCAACCTGTCCAAACTCTAGATCAGTGCGCTGAGTGGCTGTCCCACAGAAGAGAGATTTCTCTCCACCGGAGCAGGAGACACTGTATTGTGCGAGAGTGGGAGCACCACTCATTAACTTCCTAGCAAGTCTGTGCTAGCCTGTATCCATCTCCCAAGACTTTTTCTAAACCACAGAAGAAAAATTAATACTGTTGGCTACTACCAGGTTACCACTTAATAAATACACAAAGTTTGCAAATACTTTGGCTTAAGTTTTATGTCGGGTCTTATTTAATTTAAAATTAAGGGATGACCATTCCTTTCAAGATTGTCACAGGACTCAAAAACTCACCAGTAGGCAGCATGATGACAGCCCAAGTCAGGAACCATTTTCAAGTTCAGACAGCAGATTACCATTACAACTCAGAAATGAGATCTTGGAGTCTGACAGATAGCTATATGAGAATGCAAGCTCAGTGATGGTCAAAAAAGCAAACAAAAATGTTAGGACCTCTTAGGAAAGCAGTGGGGCAAAACAACATTATCATAATACCTAAACCACCATGATTCCCCGACATCTTAAATTCTAAGCATCCCTCCAGTCTTCCTATACAGAAGAATGGAAAAAAACCGAAAAGGGCAATGTGAGTTACCAAAGGCATGGAGCAGTTGTCATAGGGCGAGTAATCATGGACCAGCTATCATGAGTAAGATGGGATTCTTCAGTCTGGAAAACAAGTGACTGAAGGAGGAAAGTGGTGGGGTTTGATGGGAAAAGTGGGCAGTGTGAACCTTAGGAACCAGTGAAGGTCATTCCACAGTCTTGTGTGGGAGGCACTGAGAACCAAATGATTCTAGCAGGCAACATGTTAATAACTCATAAAAATAAGTATTATTTAATGTAACACATGGTTAAGACCTAGTTAGAGGACCTTTGGAAACTGAAACTTTACACGGGTTCAGAAAACTACTAAATAAATTCACAAAATAGAAGCATATTGTGCTTTCTGTGTACTTAGGAACTCTCATCCATGTCAGGAAGTCTTTCCACTGAAAACAGCTGAGGTCATCATCATCATTAGGAAGTAAAAGTACAAGTATGTCTCTGACTGAGCTGGTTACAGATATTTACCATCCCTAGATAGTTATCCATTTTTGGCCAGTGCTAAAGAGTTAAATGTCAGGCTAGACAGACATTTGGTCTTAGTATGACCCTTTTTTACAGCTACCCTAGACTTCAGATAATTACAGTCAGTGCTGTGAATTATTTTAGGGGTTAAAAATAAGAAAAAGAATGAGTGTGGGATTATTCAAGTTATGGGGAAACTGGCCTAAAGCCTTCTTCACCTTGAAATCTATAGATTTTAATAGGAACTGAATCAGAGCAAGACTGGTACATCTCAAAAATGTGTGGTACTTTTAGCATTATTGTTTTCCGCCACCTTTGATTGCTAGAAACAACATTAATTTCAGGTAGGAAAAAAGGCTAGTACAATACTTTGGTGTAGTAAAAGGATTTTCTGTAAGGGAAAGCTTGGTGATGCTGCTCTTTCAAGAGTCATTTTGGACCTGGGAAATGAATGCTCTTAGAAAACAAATATGGTAAGTTTCACCCCCTTTTTGCTCGAGGTGCAAAATGTGTGCCCATCCTGCTTGCCCTGATAGCACATCATGGAAGAGTGCAAGTCTGGCCACTGATATATTTCCAAAACAAGACAAGCTGCTGTAAATGCTCCTCTCCCTGAAGATCAGGTGAGAGCAGAACCATCACTTGGCTGTTCAAGTTCTTTGGAAGTTCTTGGGTGCATCTGGCTATGACAGTACTGCACATAGGGAGAAATCTTTGTGGAAGAGAATCCATGTTGTTTTGCTGAATCCCACAGTTTTCCATTTGAACATGAAATTTGTTTTCAGTTCTCCAAGGTTGCTCTGTAGCATTTTCATTTCAGTGATGTAAGAGCTGCCTTTTACTGTCAAGCCCATAATTAAAGCAGTGTTGACTGGTACGTAATGAGCTGCAAACAGTGTACCAAAAGATAATTAAAGATGCACTCCAGATAAGCAGGGCATGAGCATCCTTTTTATGAGGTGTTAATGTCTGAAGACCAACTAGTGAAATTGATCTTGGCTCTTTTAGGATGAAAGTTCTGTTTAAACATCAATAGCATTGTACTGCCCTAGAAAATGTTTGATGTGGGGATTTCTAAAGGGGTGTGCTTGTCCTAAGACTCCCTGGGCAGGCGCCTGGTGACAGAGCCCCTGCCCCACAGGGTAATTCGGCGTCCTATTCATGCTAGCATGATTATGGGGTCACCTTTGCAACTCCTAACACTAGGGCTGCTCTGGAGGGAGAGGAGTTCCTGATACCCTGATCTTGGCTAGTATAGATGCAAACCTTTTTTTTGAGAGCCATTTTGAAGAGCACTGTGCCTAGTCCTTGTCCAATAACTGTGTTGTCCATCCTAAATGTCCTTTACGCTATATCTTTTTGTTGTTTTCAGCATATTCTACATGTGACCTGGATTATTCTGTAGATGTACTTAATATCATGACTGGCATAAAGGAACATAGGCAGAGTACACAGTGGGTTTCAACATTTGGACTCTGCTGAAATCTATAGCAGAATTCCATGGGTTTTGGTGGGATCCTAAAGATAACCTATGAGTTGACAAGACACTGTTTTTTCTAAGCACGCTGCTTTGGGTATTCCTCCTTCTTTCCCCATGCCCTTCCCATTCCCCTATTTGTGAAACTAATTAAAAAAATATGGTGGCAGGGGGGAATACTATTTTCCCAACGCAGTTTAGAGAAGAGATGGGAGAGCTCACATGCAATTGTTTTGATTATGACTGACATGCAACAGCAAGATGGTGTGAGGAGAACATAGGCAGCTGTGGCTAGTCAGTGCTGTTGCCTGAATTAGTGTATGGTCAGAGTGCAGCTGTAACACAAGTTAGCTCTTACATTAGGCCAAGTCCAGGAGTCTCGGAAAAAGAGGGTGAGGTTAAGATTACCATCTTCTTTCCTGGAATCTCACTTAAAAACAAAACTTGCAATCTAAGTCTCTATCAATTAGCATTGCAAAAAAAAAAAATCTCTGAAAATGAAGGGTGTAAAGAGGCTGCCTGGCAGAGTGCCTGAAACAATAACTCCGGGAAGTGTGAACTGCTCTCTCCATAGCCAGAGGATGTTAACAAAAGCCTGGTCTATTTGACCTAGCTAGTAGTGATGGACAGTCACTATTAGTAAGTAGCACAAGTCCGTGCAAGTCTCTGCTGACTCCTCCTTATCTCTTCTGCACTGGATGTGGCTATAAGGTGTATATGTGTGTGCTGGAAGGTGTGACTTCCCTGTCATTTTGAGATCAATATTGCAGGCTGCCTGCAGGATCAGCTTTGTACTGTAGTTACTCCTTTGAGATGATGTTTTCTGCCATGAAAATTGGAAATCCGGAAAGAAAAATGACAGCATTTTTTCTAGCCCTCTCTGTGGCCAGACTGAATGAGTAAGCTCTTTGTACCCTACAAACATCCTGGGTACCCTTGATCCAGTTTATTATGCACCCCACAATTATATTGGAATTGCAGAGATATGGAAAGGTCATATGCAATTCTGTATTTTTTTGTGCCAGTCTAAATCAGAGCTCCCTAGTTCTCTTTTACCCTCTGCTCCTGTGCATCCATCCCAAGCTGGTGGTTGAACTGAGCCTGGCAAAAAAAGAATGATCAGGTTTTTTTGGAAGGAGTACCTCTGTGAGTCAGGTCATTTGCTAGCCAAGTGTGCACTGAGGTGCCTTGTGCAGGACCGCATGCAAAGCCAGGGCTTAAAGGCAGGCAAGATTGTACCCTGCATGCTTACAGCATGAAGGAATAGCTGAAGCTGGATTTGCCATAGAGAAAACTGTTAATAAAACTGTACCATCAAGCTTTATATGTCTAAGCCTTCATCCACTCCTCCCTACAGATGTATCTGAATGTGGAAAGTGAACTAAAACTGAAGGACTAGTAGCATGTCTTGACTGTATCTAGAATTGCTGAACCACTTGCCACCTAGCTGCTTTTTTCTATTCTCCACATGACAATTCTTGCTTAAACACATATTTTATTTTTTGCATGAACAGGAAAAAAACTCCAAACTATCCTGAAGCTCTGGGGGAGAAAAGAAATCTTGTGGGATGTCTGTGCTATGGCAGCTCAAGCTTATGGGAACGCTGAGGTAGAATAAAAGGGAGGAGTACTGAGAAATTGGTTTGAGCTGTTGCATCCAGATGTTCTGGACTATGTGCTGCTGTCACCCCTCCGACATTCTGCCTTCATATGAACTGCTGCTTGAAAGCAGTATCTAGGTAAAGTGGTTTCTAAAGGCGTTTATCTTGCTGTATGGGCAGAACTGCTAAAGAATCCAGCCTGTGGAGTACTAGACTCACAGGGGCTGACTGTTGCCCTTGTCTGGAAGGATATTTGTTTTTGTTGTGAGCCACTGCAGTGGTGTGTGCAATATTAAAACCCTTGCCCAGCTCAATTCAAAACTGTCTGCATGGATGTTGGATGTACTGGTCCCTGCAGAATGCAAATGGTATGTGACAGCTTTCAGACTTTGTCCCCGTACCCTTTAGTTTCAGAGCAAGCTGGAGCAGGTCCCAGACCTGAATAATTAATGGGGACACATTGTGATGAAAAACACATGAAGTAATGATGCTGCTGTTCTTGAACACCTTCAGTGATAGCTATTAATGGTCTCATTTGACAAATTATTACATTGACTAATTGATTTGCTTCTGTTCTAATCCTGTTCTACCATCTAATCCTTTCCCACATCGCAACTGTCGCTCCCTGTAAGTACTTATGTCACTCTTGGCCCTTAAATAATATTTGTGGTCTCTCTTTTGGTCATGATTTCACCTTGGACTGAAAGTACAGACCTTGCTTGTTCTGTACATGTCTTGAATGAATAGAGCTGTCTGGAGGGAAGAAGCAGCAGGAAAAGCTTGTGGTGAACTCTTCAGCACTGCTCAGGCAGGAGGCTGCAGATGCCTGAAGATTGTACTGGGGGAAGCTTTGTCCTTTACTGTGAATTCTGGGCTTTGATGCAACGTCTGGTGGAGCCACCAGCGTTTTCATTACTGCAGTGAAGATGATTCAATTTAAGAGAATTTGCCGTGGATAGAAACAGAGTGGGGTAGACAATGGCTTGTAACCGAGTGCTGAGATGGTTTCCATTCAGAAGGTTGGTGTGGAGGCCTCCCCGCAGCTGGAGGAGCCCCATGTTTCCAGCAGAGCCCCGGGCCTGTGGTGCACAGAGAAGGGGAGACTTCTCTGAGGGCTCCAGCAGAGGTGAAAGATAATTTCATTAAATTATCCACTCTCCATGTGAATTAAAGAAACGTGGATGGGTTTGTGGCGGCAGTGGGGGCTTCACTGGGAGACGCTTTGGCTCCTTCGATGGGCCGAGCCCTCATTATGTGTATTTTGGTGATGGGATGACAATGGAGGTGTGGGAGACGGCTGTGAGTCACCCTCGCAGGCCCGGCGGCTCCGGCCCCCTTGGCGGGGGGGTCGCTCACGGCCAGGGCGGAGGGCTCATAAGGCACGGAGCAGCCTATGCCACCCCACAGCCCGCAGACCTCAGCCCACATGGAGCTCGCCAGCCTGCCCCGAAGCCCCGAACCCACCGGTAAGGTTCTCGGCATTTGTGCGGCCAGGAGGGGGGGTCAGGGCGGCGATGGGGCAGGAGAAGCGGGTTCCAGGAGCGCGGCTGGACGCGGCACCGCTGACTGCCGTCCCCTCTTCCCGCAGGCGAGGCCCGGGCGCGTCCCGCCGCCCCCAGCGCGGGGCGGGAGGGTGGCCGGCGGAAGCGGACAACCTTCAGCAAGGGCCAGCTGGAGCTGCTGGTTCGCGCCTTCGAGAAGGAGCCCTACCCCGGCATCGCGCTGCGGGAGCAGCTCTCGGACCTCACCGACATCCCCGAGTCCAGGATCCAGGTGAGAAGGGCGGGAGGGCGGCTTCCCTCGGCAGGGCCGAGGCGGAGCAGACGCTCAGTCTCTGCTGCTCTCGCAGGTGTGGTTCCAGAACAGGAGAGCCCGGCAGCTGAACCACAAGAAGAGCGAAGCCGCTGCCTACCCCAAGCCGGCCAGTGGCAAGCAAAAACCGACCCGCTGCGGTGGCGGCTGCCAGGAGAGGAGCCGGACGACGGAGGGGTTTGGGCCAGATGGGAGCCTCCTCCATCCACAGCCCGGCCTAGCAGGAGGAGGCCAGAATTTCGCTGGTCAGCCTCTCTCTTACTCGGGGCAGCTTTACTCAAGGCTCGATACTCATTTCAGGAGCTTGGATAACACTTTTGGAGCGCCGGGTCAGACCCCAGCTCACTGCGGTTTGGACTGCGTGGGGAAAGGGGTCCCACTCGGTGCAGGAAGTGTGGGGAGTACCCCCCAGGTCTCGTTTCCTGTGCAGCAGGCACAGGAATATCCATACCTGAAGAAGTCTTTCCCTGAAACCTACTACTCAGATGCAGATGTTTTCCAGTATCGTATAGAAGATCATCAGTACCTGGCAGCTAAAGAGAATGTGTGTAGGAGGCCTGTCTTAAACTACTTAAATGCTAACCATGGCCTGGGCGATGAGAACTATTTGTATATAAAGTCAAACATTTCTCCTTTTGGGAAGGGCTCCACTTTCAATTATGTTGAAGGGGAATCTAAGCTTGAGGTCGAGCAGGTGGGGCACAGTCCACCTCTGGTTCTAGCTGAAGAGGGGTGTCAAGGAACACTTTCTGCTCCAGCCTCATCGTATGGGCAGCAGCTGCTGGAGACAGTAAGTGACTATGACCCTCACTGGCTGGGCATGAGAAATGAAATTTTGGGAACTGGATTAGACTCGCTGTTTGAGAATGAGCAAAACTGGGGGCAAGGTGGGCCAAAAAGTTACATTTTTTCTTTTGGTGGCCAGAACGCAACCTGTCATCTGGGTCACACATGAACCTGACAGTGGGTCTGCTTGACTGATGAAAAACTAATGTGTTTTTGTTGGATTGGCAGTGTTCTCCAAAGCAGCTAGAGGTTTTGCAGGTCTGAGTGTGGAGTGCTTGTTCTGAATTTTGTGCACTGTCTGGAAGGAGAGCAAAGATAGGCAAAATTAACAAGAGCTACTGGAGAGTAGCCTGCTGAATGTGTGCTGCCTCATCCTTTGGGAGCTGTAACAAAGCTGTTTGCAGTATTCCTGCATGCATCTGGTTATTGGCAGTTTCACATTTACTTGCACATACAGACTGTTTTTCAAATGATGCTGGATTAATTCTGCCCTGAGGCCTGGGGCTATGGCATTGTTTTTGTGGCCTTACTGCAGAGTTCTCTTTCTATTCTGGTCAGAATTCACTTTAACTTAAATCTGCAGAAAACAGATGTATTTATAGCTTTTAGTGGAGAAAGCGTTAACATGAGAGGGGTACTAGCATGGGAAAAACAGCCTTGGTGGTGGCAGGGGACAGCTCACTGGGTGTGTTTGCATTTTAGGTGTGTTCCTGATACAGAACACTGCTGGTCTTTTCCTAGATACTTGATGTATAGTGTTTTCACTTAAAATGACCACATTTGTAGCCTTTTAAAAGGCAATATTTTTGTGGTTTCCTTCTGTATATTTTTTTATTATCTTTGTTTTGAAATTGTAATTTTCCATTTGCCAAATGAAGGGTTTTTTACCTGGGTGATAATGAACTTACAGAACTGCATGCAAAGGAAAAATAAAAATGTGTTCCAGCTTTGCATTCGCACATAGAGCCTATTTTTATATTCCTCAAGATCCATGGCCATCTGGAAGACCCCTGTAATCATGGAAGTGTTTTCTTCCTGGAGCGCTGCCATGGTTGTGTATCCACGCATTATCGGGCCTAGGATGCTGAAAATTCTCTATGCAAATTGTTTCTTGTTTAAAATGTGGCTCTGGAATATTTTAAGTATGTGAAGATTTTAATATACACGTTATTAACTTAATTACTTTGTTTATAGAACAAAATAAACATAATAAAAGTATAATTTAAACACAGACCATTACTTTATTAACAAAGATCTCTGTCAAGAAGCTGTATGTTGAGCTGTGTACACAAGAGCTCCAGAAAGTTACCCCTGACTTTTGTAATTTTTAGCTGTGGCTGTGAAGAAGTCATTTAAACTTTCAACTTTGATATGAAGAATTTGGAACATACTCATGTCTTGTGGAAGAATCATAGCTTCAGACAATAGCTGCAAGGCACTTTAAACACAAAAACGTTTGTATATTAGAGCTAAGTCCAAGTTTATGATTTTATCTTGCATATATGATTCTTTAGTAAACTTTTAAGACTTATTCATTTATTTACACTTTCCCTCATATTAACTTCCTCATGAGAAGTGAGCCTTGTTCTTAGACACAGAACAAGAACAGTTTTACCTGTGAAAAAGACAAGAAACGTGTTCAGAAGTGTATCAAATCAACTTTGCTTCATAAAGAGTGAGTTAAAGAGCAAGAGGAAAAAAGATGTCTGAAAAAATAGTATGACCAGTAAACCAAACAAAGATGTGGGGTTTTGGTTCCTTCCTGGGGTTAGGGGCCACCTGGCAGGTAGCATCTGGTCTTCCCATTGTATCCTCCCTGGTGATGTAAGTGCATGGTAACCAGCACCCTCTTATCTCATGGGGCTGAGGTAAAGAGTTGGTGGGTCACTGTTGCAGATTCTTTTGAGTGAGCCTTGTCTCTACAATGCATGCAGCCATCACACTAAGGCATTCTATTCTGTCAAAACTCACAATGCTGCACCAAGGCAACTGTGTTAGGTGACTGGTTTTGAGCTGTCATCCCAGCTGCTCTGGTTATACTGGGCATTACAAACCCTTCATTCGGCCTAGGGCACACACGTCCCTTAATATTAAACCCATGTTTCCAGCACTGAAGTGGAACACGCACCAAATCCTTCTTGAGCAAGTCCAAGAAAAATCATTCTCTCACCACAGAGCTACCTACTGATCATGATAGAGCTCTTCTGTAAGTTGTGAGTTTATTTTGTTACAAGTTGCTTTTAACAGACCTACCTAGCATATATTTCACAATAAACACGAAGACAAACCTGTGCAGAGCAGCCAGATACAACACTATGTCACGATGCTTCCATAAACTTTCATTCCTTACTAAGAGATGGAGAATGCTAGAAGACAAATTAAATGCTTATTCAACATGTAGGAGGTACTGTCACAGAGATGGTATTAGTAGCTTCCCCAGGACCTCACATGCCAAAAGCATCTCTGCCGTCATACAAGTAGATGATGCTGAGGAAAAGGTGGGGCAGGAACCAAGTGTGTTCAGTATTGGACTACTCTTATACTGCCTGTAAAATGCCCATTTATAGAAGACGAGGATTTTGCATGCTGAATGTTGAAAACTGTATTTTCTTCCATGTAACTTGTCAAAGATAAAGTGAGGACCCAACACAGCCATGTGGTTTACAGTCAGCCTGGTCCCCCTCCACTGCTAGGCACCTTGAGCTGTTCATTCGTGGAAGACTGCAAAGTGCATTCCTTTCTTCTCAGCCATCTCCTCCAGCAGCAGGACCAGTGACATCCACAGCCTCTGCAGCTGTGAGTCCTTGCTGGAAGCCACCTGAGAGGCATGATCTGACAAGCACCACAGAGACAGCAGTTCATGACCTGGACACCTCTTTAGCAGCTCTGCTCCTCCCCATTTCTTGGCATAAGGCAAATTACACCAGAAAAGAGGGCTATTCTCTTAATTAAGCAGGGCCTCTACCTGCAACTTCGTGAGGACTTGCCTTAAGGCGTAGGCACAGGCCTGCATGTGAGATAAACAACTACTCACTTTGCACCTAGAGTACCCTGCCTCCTACATGCTTAGTCTTGTCCTCCTGTGGTGGTGGCCTTAATACCTGAAAAAAGCCCCATCTAAGTTTCGTCCAAGTTCCTAGCACTGCCCTTCACAGGTTTTTACCCTGTGACTTTTGCTTGTCCTCCCGTACTCCTTTGTAAGGATTTTTCTTTAAAACAGATCTTTCTCACATTGATTTCTGAGGCCGCCGCAGCCAGTTACTACGGGAACGGCCCCCAAAACTGTGCGGCAGCAGGCGGCGCGGCGCAGGTGCCGCCCGCTGCGCTGCGGGGCCAGCACCCCCGGCCAGCTACCGCGACCCTTTACAGCATTTGCGGGGAGCTAGTTCCCGGTCCCTCACCCACCGCGGCTGGCTTAGCCCCGCTAAAGGACTCACGGGCCCAAACCCCGTCGGCCTGCGGCCGTGTGTACCGGCATTAAGGTTCCGTCGCAGCCGCGCCTTCCGGAACTCCGCGTGCAGCCTCTGTTTCCGGGGGATCTCCAGGGAGGCACGGTCGGTGCGGGCCCACGCGGTCTGGACTGCCCGGTGAGCGGCGGCTGCTGCCGCCTGTGCGGGGTAGCTCTCCCGCTCCTCAGGGGCCGCAGGGCCGGCAGCTCCCTGCTGCGGTGGCGGGGGGGGGGTCTCGGTTTTCCCACGGTAAAGTAGTGGCCCTTCCTCTGCGGCGGCCCTCACGTCCTGGAGCGGGCTGCCGGCCTGTCCAGAGACCCGCGTCCTGCCGGGCGCGGAGACCGGCCTGGGCCGAGCCAAGCGGTCGTGGTGGCGAGAACGCGGTGCCCGGCGCGCAGGGTCTGGGGCCTGGCAGGAATACTGCTTTGCTCAGGGAGGACTTCGGTGCTTTCCTCTGCGTGCAAGCAGGACACAGATTAGCAGTGTCTTTACCGAGATGGTTCAGTAATGTTTGCATAGTGCTGCTGTTCTCTCACAGGTGTGCCGCATCCGTGTGAGGTGTGTGCTAACTGCATTTTCTTCCTGTGTCAGGAGTGCGCGGTATCACACAGAAACAGTCTGCATCATACTGGTTGTGAACTTTCTTTGAAAGAATAAGATGGAAGAAAAAGAGAAGAAGAAGCATCGTGCAAAGCACAGTGGACCAAAGGCAGAGAAGAAAAGGAAACGTTACCTCAATGATCTTGGAATAGGAGATGAGGAGAATGCGCGGAAGAGGAACCCCAAAGCCTTTACGGTCCAGTCCGCTGTGCGGATGGCCAGAACTTTCCATAGGTAAGAAATGGGAATTGGGTATAGGGCATGCAGGGTTGGCTGGATGTATAGATGTTGCCTGGGGTTCTTTGTTACTGTGTAGAAATATCCATAGTGTATTTTTTTGCTGGTGCACTCATGTAGCTGTCATCATTCACCAGGTCATGTTGTAGTTAATGCACATGTCAGAAGCATGATGCTTTTTGTTGTTACATAGTACAGCTGTGTTAGTTAATGGAAAAAAAAAAAGTATGTAGCTCCTTAGACTTGGAGTTCCACATACATACTAGTATTTGGGCTCTTGTTGAACCTTTGTGTCCAAGCTTTTGCAAATACTGAAGACTTTTAAATAATAAATGCTACCTTTTTTAAGTTCATGTATTTACTTCTTACAATTTTTTTTTTTTTTTTTCAGAACTCAGGATTTGAAGACTAAAAAACATCACATTCCTGTGGTTGACCGTACTCCTTTGGAGCCACCTCCTGTGGTGGTGGTTGTAGTTGGCCCTCCCAAGGTTGGGAAAAGCACCTTAATAAAATGTCTCATTAAGAACTTCACAAGGCAAAAGCTAGTTGAAATCCGGGGTCCTGTTACAATTGTTTCAGGTGAGAACAAGGATAGGAGAAATTGAAACGTGTACTTTGCACTCCTTATTTATCTTGCTTTGAGAGCTAGGATGTGTTCATGTTGTAAATTTAGGTAACTTTAAAGAAATCCTATGGATGTGTTATTAGGCATACCTATTAACAGTAAAAGAATAACTAGATTTAGGCCTTTAGGGAACTTCTGCCTCTGAACTTACTTTCCACCCTGTTGGTATCCCAATTCAGTGTCATTTTTTGGTTTTGTTTGTTTGTTGTTTTTTGTTTATTTTTTTCTTCTTTCTGGCTTTTTCCCAGTTTCTTC